ACTAGCATTACCAAGGTTTGGGTTAGATGTACCTTAGTCCTCAAAGTGACATCACTCCTTAGCACTACAAAGAAGTCCTTGCATAAATTTATTGCCCTTGATTTCTTGATTGCTGGTCCATCCATAAGTGTTGATTACACATCCAAGTAAAATAAAGTCCCTCAATCTGTTCTCTACTTATCATGACTTTCTAACTCTATGTCTTTGCATATTTCATTTTATTATTCTACTTTTGTCTTCTCAAGCTACCCTTTGAAATGTTCTATTAGTTCCCTAACTCCCTCATTTCTTCCATTGGCCTTAGCCACTCTGATTAAGAGCAAGTTTGTTTCTTCTAACATTCACTTTAATCCTTTCTTTCCTATGACCTTTGCTTCCTTCAAGAATGATGTCATTGATATCCTCCCAAAGCATGCTGAAAACCAGAAATAATGAACTCACTGCCATGGAGTCGATGCCAACTCGTAGTGACCCTACAAGGCAGGAGGGCACTGCCCTCTTTGAGTTTCCAAAACACTATGGGAGTAGAACGGTTCAGTCTCCTCCTGAGCAACCACTGGCAATGCCAAACTGCCAAAGATGTGGATCTCAGTACAATGCATAACCACTATGCCATCAGCATGCTTGGTGTATCTTAAACTGAAAAAACTTTTAAAAAAAGTCAAGCCTTCAGTTGCAATACTGAAAGATTCTATATGGGAAAATATTGAATGATGCAGGAAGCATCAAAAAAAAAAAAGATGGAAAAAATACAGAGTCACTGTACCAAAAAGAACTAGTTGACATTCTACCATTTCAGGAGGTAGCATATGAGAAACGATCAATACTGAAGGAAGAAGTTCAAGCTGCACTGAAAGTAGAAGCCAAAAACAAGGTTCCAGGGATTGATGGAACACCCACTGAAATGTCTCAACAAGCTGGTGAAGCATTGGAAGCACTCACGCATGTATGCCAGGAAAAGTGGAAGACAGTTACTTGGCAAACTGACTGGAAGAGATCCATATTTGTGCCCATTCCGGAGAAAGAAGACCCAACAGAAGGATCAAATTATAGACTAACACTGATATCGCTGGAAAGTAAAATTTTGAAGATAACCCAGCAACGGCTACAGCAATACATTGACAAGGAGCTGACACAGGTTCAGGCCAGATTCAGAAATAAGGGATATCATTGCTGATGTCAGATGGATCTTGACTCAAAGCAGAGAATACCAAAAAGGTGTTTATTTGTGCTTTATTGAATGTGCAAAGGCTTGCAACTGTGTGGATCACAAGAAAGTACAGGTAGCCTCAAGAAGAATGGGAATTCCAAACCACTTCATTGTGCTCATGAAGAACTTGTACATGGATCAAGAGGCAATGATGCAAACAGAACAAAGAAATATTGCATGGTTTAAAACAAGGAAAGGTGTGCATCAGAGTTGTATCCTCTCACTATACTTAATTCAGTCTGTATGATGAGCAATTCATCAGAGAAGCTGGATTATTGTGAAGGCAGTATAAGAACTGGAGAGAGGCATATTAATCTGTGATACGCATATGACACAACCTTACTTGCTGAAAGAAGGACTTGAAGCACTTGCTGATGAAGATCAAGAATTGCAGCCTTCAATATGGATTACAATTCAATGTAAAGAAGACTAAAATCCTCAGAACTGGACCAGTAGGCAACATCATGAACAAAGAGAAAAGACTGAAGTTGTTAAAGTGTTTTGTCTTACTTGGATCTACAATCAGTGCTCATAGAAGCAGCAGTCAGGAGATCAAATGAGGCATTGCATTACGTAAATCTGTTGCACAAGATCTCTTTAGAGCACTGAAAACGCAAAGTTACTTTGAGGACTAAGATGCACCAGACACAAGCCCAGGTATTTTCAATTACTGTACCTCATATGCATGTGAAAGTTGGACACTGAATAAGAAATATCATCAATGCATTTGAATTATGGTGCTGGCAAAGAATATTGAAAGAATCATGGACTGCCAAAAGAACAAACAAATCTGTGCAGGAAGTAGTACAGCCAGAGGGCTCCTTCGAGGCAAGTATGGGAAAACTTCATACTTTTATCTATCATACTTCGAGTATGTCAAGAAGAACCAGTCCCTGGAGAAGAACATCATGCTTAGATGGGCTCACACACACGAACAACTGTGAAGATGGCACAGGACTGGGCAGTGTTTCAT